ATACTAGGGAGACAATATGATATTTACAGATGTGGGTCTGGTTTATTTCACTAATAAGTATATCTTCAAGTGGCATCCACTTAAATATGAAGGCTTTGAGTTTATCATTCTTTTTTTTTTTTTTTTTTTTTGGCGGAACCAGGGATTGAACTCAGATCCTTGTGTTTGCCAGTCAAGCGCTTATCCTACTGAGCCATCTCCCTGGCCCCGAGTTTATCATTCTTTATAGCGGAGTAGTACTCCATTATATAAACATACCACATCTTTTTCAACCATTCCACATGTGATGGGCATCGTGGTTGTTTCCAGGTTCTGGCTATCACAAATTGTGCTGCTATAAACATAGCTACACATATATCACTATGATATGATGCTTTCAGTTCCTCCGCTTTTCAGTTTAAATGGGATTTCCAGTCCTAGTTTTCTAAGGAGTCTCCACACTGATTTCCATAATGGTTGCACCAGTCTACACTCCCACCAACAGTGGAGAATGGTTTCCCTTTCCCCACAGCCTCTCCAACATTTGTTGTTGGTTGATTTCTTTATGATAGCCATTCTTTCTGGGGTGAGATGGTATTTCAGTGTTGTTTTAATTTGCATTTCACGGATGGTTAGTGACGAGGAGCATCTTTTCCTATATTTATTCCTTTCTTTAATTTCGTCCACTGAGGAATGTGTGTTCATCTCAAATGCCCATTTCTGGATTGGGTCTTTAAATTTAGGGGTCCTAATGTTCTTTAGTTCTTTATAAATTCTAGACCTTTGTCTCAGTACTTATTAGTTAAGATTTTTTCAAAGTTTGTGGGTTGTCTTTTTACTTTGTTGATAATTTCTTTTGATGTGCAAAAACTCAATAAGAGATGGTCCCAGTTGTTAATTCTTTCAAGTATTTGATTTCTGTTCATGAACTCTTTGCCTACCCCTGTCTTCAAGAGATCCTCCTATTTTCTCTTCTAGGAGATTTAGTGTTTCTGTTTTAATGTTCAGTTCTTTAATCCATTTTGACTTTAGTTTAGTGCATGGTGATAGACCTGGGTCAAGTTTTAGTTTTCGGCATGTAGAGAGGCAGTTTTTCCAGCACCATTTGTTAAAGAGGCTATCTTTCTTCCAGTAAGTGTGTTTGGCTTCTTTGTTGAAGATCAGGTGGCTGAGTGCGTTCCTCGAGGCCTCTGCATCTACTAGTCTACTCCATTGATCCTCAGGTCTATTTTGTTGCCAATACCATGCTGATTTTATTACAGTAGCTTTGTGGTATAATTTCAAGTCAGGAATTGTAATACCTCCTGCTTTGTCTTTGTTGGCCAGGATTGCCTTTGCTATTCTAGGTCTTTTTTTGTTCCAAATAAATTTTAGGAACAATTTCTCTAGGTCTGGGAGTTATGTTGGTGGTAGTCTGATAGGGATTGCATTAAATCTATACAACAATTGTGGGAGTACGGCCATCTTCATGATGTTGGTTCTTCCTATCCAGAGCAGGGAATATCTTTCCATTTTCTGAAATCCTCTACGATCTCTTTCAGAATACTGTAATTTTCCATGAAAAGATCTTTGATTTCTTTAGCTAGATGAATTCCAAGGTATTTCATTTTTTCTGAGACTATTGTAAAAGGTATTGGTTCCCTCTCAGTGTGTTTGTTATCTGTGTAGAGGAATGCTATTGACTTTTGGGTATTGACTTTGTATCCTGCTATGATACTGAATTTGTCTATCAATTCTAGTAGTTTCTTAGTGGCGTTTTTTGGGCCTTCCAAATAAAGTATCATGTCATCTGCAAATAATGATAGTTTCACTTCTTCTTTACCTATTCTTATTCCTTTTATTTCTCCCTCTTGTCTAATGGCTCTAGCTAATGATTCCAGAACTATATTGAAGAGGAGGGGAGATAGAGGACATCCTTGTCTTGTATCTCAATTGAATTAATTTCCGCTCTAATCTTTATGATTTCTTCCCATCTTTGGGCTCTGGGTTTGGTTTGTTCTCCCAAGAGCATGGCGGAAGTTCTTACTCAGATGGCGGGCTGTGCTGGTTCTGGCTGGGCAGAGGAGGTCCGGAGAATGCAGGGAAAGGCCTTTCTCACACGGCGGGCCTGGGCTTGGAGCGGTGGGCAGGCGCAGGACAGAGCAGAAACTCTTGCCCACCTTAAATAACTTTTCATATCAGACAAAACACCTTTTAGTCTTTGTCATGTGCATTCTGCTCTAAAAATGGCAAATACTCAAATTTTGTATGTTGATGTCACAGTTTAAAGAATTAGAATCTCAGTTGAATAAATGGGTTGTTTGAACCCTCAGGTGTGCCTTTTTTGTTTACCATTGACCACTATCAGAAAATGTGACCACGCCAGGGATGGCAGCCCTTGGCTATAGTTCCAGCACTTGGGAAGTTGAGGCAGGATGACTGTCATAAGTTTGGGGCCGGCCTGAACTGTATAATGAGACCATCTCAAAGGAAAGTGTGAGCACAATTTGTAGCTCTGCCACTTTAGGGTGTACCTGTTGGCAAACAACCCAAATGGCTATACCTGCAAGGAAGGAAAGATCATAAATCTCAAGTATGCATTAGGTGTTGCTGGATTTGTGTCATTGATCATTCTTTAAATGCTGAAGTGAATTAGTGCACAGGCTGGCACTAATATTGTATGTTAGTATTGTATATTATGGTATGTCCAGGAATACCAAGGATGCAGCCCTTGGTGAGTGTCAGCCGGTGTGCCAAGTCGAATATGTCTATATAGTGGCACAAGGAGTGGTTGGGAAATACTGTATTTAATTTCTAAATTCAGTCTTTTTTTTTTTTCTTTTGCGGAACTGGGGATTGAACTCAGGCCCTTGCACTTGCCAGGGAAGTGCTTATTCCACTGAGCCATCTCCTCAGCTCACCAGCATTTATTTATTTATTTAGTGTGTGTGTGTGGCCAGCTCAGCCCACCAGGGGGCAGGGCTGGCTGGCATGTGGTGCTGGGGGATTGAACCGCGGTCCCTGTGCTTTGCCAAGCTTGTTCCAAGTAGGTGCTTTAGACCACTGAGCCATCTCTCCAGCCCCGTCACCAGCAGTTTTGAGCACTCTTATATGAACAGTTTTTTCTCTATTTACTCTGTGAATTAAATTTAAATTTTCCTTGTAGTTCTGATAGTTGACAAATCATTCTTTTAACACCTAGAGTTTTGTTTTTAAAACAAAATGAACAAAGGACATGACTATAAAGAAGGTTATCTACCTTCTGGTCCCTGAATTGGATCTGATTTGTGATGGTGCCAATATACAGCATCATTAGATTTACTTTTTGCTTTCTAGTCAAAGAAGACTGGAATGTCAGAATTACCAAGCTACGGAAGCAAGTGGAAGAGATTTTTAATTTGAAATTTGGTAAGTAAAACACAGTTATTATAAAGTAAATGGTGCACACATGGGAAGCTGTGTGCAGTTGGGAGGCCGAGGCAGGTGGATCACTGAGCTTGAGGCCATCCTGAGCTACGTAACAAATTTAAGGCCTGGCTTCCTACATAGCGAGACCCTAGCTCAACAAACACAAAGGCTGTGTTCTGAACAAACTGCAAAAGTTCAGGACCTAAAGCAGGAAGGTCCCAGAAAGTGACTCTTACTTTATTTCTCCTACTAAACTTCCTGCTAATAAACCAAACCATTTCCTCTATTTCTTTGCCTTCAATTTTCTCTTGTCCTAGTGGGAGAGGAAGGGAGGACTTGGGAAGCATCTCAGACCCAGTGTTTGTGCTTCTCACCTGGCTAACACCAGCTTAGCCCATAGGTTACGTTGTTTGTTTCATCATGATTTGTGGCTATGGTGTGCTGTCCTCAGCGGGGTCTGAGGAGGCTGAGCAGCAGAGTTGCGTCTGCCCTTGCTGAGGAAGTGCGGAGAGAGGAGTGCAGGCAGCTTCCTAGGGCTTGTGTCAGTTGCTTCAGTGCCTGCCGTTGACCTTTTGTACCCTCGATCAGGTGTCCTGGGCTCTCTGCCTCTCGTCTGACTTAACGTGCTGTGCTTAGGTGCAGCTGTAGTTGCAGACTTGCATCCAGAGACAGCCAAGAGGCTACGCGGGCTGCACCAAGCCGCTGCTCTGATCCTCAGTCCCTGCCTAGGTGTCACCCATGGAAACCAGCCTACTCTAGTCTTTCCCTCCACAGCACTTGCAGGAACCTTGTGCTGCTTGTTTGTCACCCTGACCCAGGGTGTGGTGAACGAGGATGACGGACAGGCACAGAATTACTTTAGCATGTAGGCAGCCAGGAACCCCAAGTGTCTAACACATCCTGCTTTTATTCCTCCAAACACGGGTACAAGCATTTAACGTAGCTGAAGATCTGCCTGCCCTCATTGTCCACTAGCAGCGGCCTCTGAGCAAGCTGCCCTCAGCTGTGTCTCGGCTGTGTCGCTGCTGCCTTAGAGCCTACAGCGCCACCTGCTGCGCGCCGCGGAGGAGCACAGCTGCTGCCTCTCACGTCGCGCTCACAGAGGAGGCCACTTACGCCTCACTTCTCCTTAGCTGGCCTCCCACAGTGGGTGGCTGCTCTGTGACATGGCCATAGTGACCGATAACTTTTGAATTAAAGTGTTTAAATGTTTCTAACAGCTCTTGTTTTTTAGGCTTTTCAGATTTGCACATTTGTTATGTACTAATAACAAGCAAGTTGTCTTCAATATTATGTGACTGTGTATCGGTCAGGGTTTTACTTACAGGAACAGGTATAATATAAGGAACAGATATTAATGCAAGATATGCAGTGTGTAAGGAATTACAAGATTGGCTTATGATAGGCAGCCGCAGAGTCAGATGAGGAAGCGTACAGAGGGCATATGCACACCCCAGATGGAGGAATTCAGTCCCGAGGTCTGAAGCTCACCGCAGTGCAAGTCTCTGTTCGCTAGCTAATGGGTCTGCGAGGGACGCTGAAGAGTCTGTGGCGGAAGGCGAAGGATCCAAGCCGGAGGCTGATTAGTTTGCGCTGCAAGCGGGGCAATGAAATCCAAGCCCAGTGATAAGACTGAAGTTCCTCTGACAAGGTGGAACATCAACTCCTTCCTTAGCCCCTTTATAGGGTCTCTTTGTGCTGAGTCACTCTAGGGTGGAACCACTTGTGCCGCAGGAGAGGACCCTCACAGGCTGGAACCACCCGATGGAGTCTTCCAGCCAGGTTGACACAATGTATCAACCACTACAAGCTGTTACTAAATTATAAGGAGTTCATGCGTAGCATGTTTGAGATGCACACACAAGACTGAAATTTTTCTCTTTCATTAAGTTGTGTTCTCTTCCTTTTTAGCCCAAGCTCTCGGCCTCACGGAAGCAGTGAAAGTACCATACCCTGTATTTGAATCAAATCCTGAGTTCCTCTATGTGGAAGGCTTGCCAGAAGGGATTCCTTTTCGAAGCCCCACCTGGTTTGGAATTCCCCGCCTAGAAAGGATTGTCCGTGGGAGCAATAAAATCAAATTTGTTGTTAAAAAGTAAGTTCTGTGGCTAAAGAGTCACTCAGTAGTTAAATACTTGACTAGACCCGGAGTTCAACTTCCAATACTGCCAAAAAAAAAAAAAAAAAAAA